AGTCTATAGTCTAGTCTATAGTCTAGTCTATAGTCTAGTCTATAGTCTAGTCTATAGTCTAGTCTATAGTCTAGTCTATAGTCTAGTCTATAGTCTAGTCTATAGTCTAGTCTATAGTCTAGTCTATAGTCTAGTCTATAGTCTAGTCTATAGTCTAGTCTATAGTCTAGTCTATAGTCTAGTCTATAGTCTAGTCTATAGTCTAGTCTATAGTCTAGTCTATAGTCTAGTCTATAGTCTAGTCTATAGTCTAGTCTATAGTCTAGTCTATAGTCTAGTCTATAGTCTAGTCTATAGTCTAGTCTATAGTCTAGTCTATAGTCTAGTCTATAGTCTAGTCTATAGTCTAGTCTATAGTCTAGTCTATAGTCTAGTCTATAGTCTAGTCTATAGTCTAGTCTATAGTCTAGTCTATAGTCTAGTCTATAGTCTAGTCTATAGTCTAGTCTATAGTCTAGTCTATAGTCTAGTCTATAGTCTAGTCTATAGTCTAGTCTATAGTCTAGTCTATAGTCTAGTCTATAGTCTAGTCTATAGTCTAGTCTAGTCTAGTCTATAGTCTAGTCTATAGTCTAGTCTATAGTCTAGTCTATAGTCTAGTCTATAGTCTAGTCTATAGTCTAGTCTATAGTCTAGTCTATAGTCTAGTCTATAGTCTAGTCTATAGTCTAGTCTATAGTCTAGTCTATAGTCTAGTCTATAGTCTAGTCTATAGTCTAGTCTATAGTCCTAGTCTATAGTCTAGTCTATAGTCTATCTATAGTCTAGTCTATAGTCTAGTCTATAGTCTAGTCTATAGTCTAGTCTATAGTCTAGTCTATAGTCTAGTCTATAGTCTAGTCTATAGTCTAGTCTATAGTCTAGTCTATAGTCTAGTCTATAGTCTAGTCTATAGTCTAGTCTATAGTCTAGTCTATAGTCTAGTCTATAGTCTAGTCTATAGTCTAGTCTATAGTCTAGTCTATAGTCTAGTCTATAGTCTAGTCTATAGTCTAGTCTATAGTCTAGTCTATAGTCTAGTCTATAGTCTAGTCTATAGTCCTAGTCTATAGTCTAGTCTATAGTCTAGTCTATAGTCTAGTCTATAGTCTAGTCTATAGTCTAGTCTATAGTCTAGTCTATAGTCTAGTCTATAGTCTAGTCTATAGTCTAGTCTATAGTCTAGTCTATAGTCTAGTCTATAGTCTAGTCTATAGTCTAGTCTATAGTCTAGTCTATAGTCTAGTCTATAGTCTTGTCTATAGTCTAGTCTATAGTCTAGTCTATAGTCTTGTCTATAGTCTAGTCTATAGTCTAGTATATAGTCTAGTCTATAGTCTAGTCTATAGTCTAGTCTATAGTCTAGTCTATAGTCTAGTCTATAGTCTAGTCTATAGTCTAGTCTATAGTCTAGTCTATAGTCTAGTCTATAGTCTAGTCTATAGTCTAGTCTATAGTCTATCTAGTCTAGTCTATAGTCTAGTCTATAGTCTAGTCTATAGTCTAGTCTATAGTCTAGTCTATAGTCTAGTCTATAGTCTAGTCTATAGTCTAGTCTATAGTCTAGTCTATAGTCTAGTCTATAGTCTAGTCTATAGTCTTGTCTATAGTCTAGTCTATAGTCTAGTCTATAGTCTTGTCTATAGTCTAGTCTATAGTCTAGTCTATAGTCTAGTCTATAGTCGTCTATAGTCTAGTCTATAGTCTAGTCTATAGTCTAGTCTATAGTCTAGTCTATAGTCTAGTCTAGTAGTCTAGTCTATATCTAGTCTATAGTCTAGTCTATAGTCTAGTCTATAGTCTAGTCTATAGTCTAGTCTATAGTCTATCTATCTAGTCTATAGTCTAGTCTATAGTCTAGTCTATAGTCTAGTCTATAGTCTAGTCTATAGTCTAGTCTATAGTCTAGTCTATAGTCTAGTCTATAGTCTAGTCTATAGTCTAGTCTATAGTCTAGTCTATAGTCTAGTCTATAGTCTAGTCTATAGTCTAGTCTATAGTCTAGTCTATAGTCTAGTCTATAGTCTAGTCTATAGTCTAGTCTATAGTCTAGTCTATAGTCTAGTCTATAGTCTAGTCTATAGTCTAGTCTATAGTCTAGTCTATAGTCTAGTCTATAGTCTAGTCTATAGTCTAGTCTATAGTCTAGTCTATAGTCTAGTCTATAGTCTAGTCTATAGCTAGTCTATAGTCTAGTCTATAGTCTAGTCTATAGTCTAGTCTATAGTCTAGTCTATAGTCTAGTCTATAGTCTAGTCTAGAGTCTAGTCTAGTCTATAGTCTAGTCTAGTCTATAGTCTGGTTTATAGTCATTATTCTAGTCTTTGATCGTACCAGATCTAACTAGAGAATAATCAACAAAGAGGGAAAACTGTACAGATTTTGGGCAATATAGGGCAAGTAATAACTATTGGTTTAGAACTATTTGCGTAAAGTGCAATCACCTCTTCAAACTATAATTATCATTTATAATTAAAACATGAATTTCAATTTATTTATTCTGTCTTATCAATTTCCAAGAAAAGCCACAACTGGAAGGTAATTAAATGCTAAAATAATGATCGAGTATGAAGACACAGAGAGAATGAGAGGCGAAGAAAGTCGCTTATTAAAAAAATGGGAAATTACAAACAGTCATTGGAAGTAATATAAGTATAACATAATGTATTTGTCATAAAATCTATTAATTAAGCATATTAAAAGATTTAGTTTAAACATGTAAAATAAAACTAATTTTATTTAAAATATATATTTTTTATTTAATTACTTAGACTTGTACGTACTTGACGTGTCTAAAACTAATTTATTCAAAAAAACTTTGCAAATATTTAAAGGGTTATCTGTAATTTATCTTAATTTCATATTATTTAGAATTATTTTAATTTTTCCAATTCATTAATTTCTCGATAATTTGACAAATGTAAACAAATGATGTCTCTGCCTGTAATTACAATAACTCTAAATGAGACGTCAATCACGTAAAACGTAAATGAAACAAACTGTTGTTTTAAAAGAAATCCCCGGACTATATTACAAACAAAAGTATTATATTTATCGGAAACGGGTTTTATTTTTTTTTATTTTGATGATACGCAAGACATCAAATAGAATAGTTTATTATAAAGGGAAGAGTATTATGTATTTGTTTTTGAAAGAGGAACTATATATATCGGGTCTTGATTCAATTATGAATTTATAAATGACAATCATGGGTGACGGTTTATATGAAGGATATGAAACTATCATCATAAATGGATAAGCTATTGAAATGGGTCTAATGTTAATTTATGCAAAACTTAACCCAGATATAAACGTTTAAGCATACTTCCGAGGGATCCTTTCTATAGGAGCTAATTGAAATCACGGACCGATTTCTATCAATTTGGAAATGCTTTGAACAAAATAAAGATATGTGTTTAGTTAACTTCAAAATTTCCTATATCTGGTCCACAAGATTTGCATATATGGTAATACCGACAAGCGGATATACAATTGAATGTGTAATAACTTTTGTACAATATTCTTTTTAAGATCACCAGAGTCTAAAACTTGTTCACATAGATTAATGACCTATCACAGTCTGAAACTTTTTTAAGTCTGGTCCACAAGAGTTATATGGTAATACTGACACTTGATTGAAGTTTTAACAAATTTGTACTAACTTTTATATAATATTATCTTTAAGATCGTCAGGGTCTGAAACTTCTTCAAATAGATTTATGACTTATCAGAGTCTGAGACCGTTATAAAAACGGTTTCAGACTGCTTTAAAATCGTCAGGGTCTGATAGTTTCTCAAATAGATTTATGACTTATCAGAGTCTAAGAACGTTATACCAACCAGTACCCGTTTTAGTTTGAATCCATCAATCATAGATCACGTCAATTGCAGCCCAGACATTTCATATAGGTCATATATAGGACCAATTGGACGTTTAGCCTTTTATTCGGGCTCCCAACATGTTGTAGTTTGATCTATGTATATCATGCGGTTTAAGGGAGCCTGACTTTTTGATCGTAAAAACCATTTATTAGAGATGTATTTGTTATAAATGTATCGGACTCCACTAGGAATTGAGTGAGAAAGATGTTGTACGAACGTGATAACGTGATCCAACTCAAAACTGTTACCCTTAACCATCACTACAGTTCTACCAGGGATCGTTTCCTTCCAAGACGTACTGCTAGGTATGCAGTACAGCATTAGGAGTTGAAATTGTAAGATATTGAACAAATGTAACAATAGGATTCAGTTCTAAATCGTTGATATAGAACATCACCACAGTACTACCCCCGATCTTTTCTCTCAAAAACCCATTGACGAAGATTATTGTACTAAAACAGTTCTCTTCTCTTTAAAATATTGATTTAAAATGAGAAATAAAACTGATTTCAGATTGTGCCGAAAGGCGGGTGTGAAGGAAGGTGGGTAGAAGGAACAGGAAGGCGGGTTTTGGCTGAGCAATGTTGTCCATTTTTAGCACAACAAAAGGTCGAATCATAGAGAATATTATAGGAAAATGATCATTTATCATAAACCCTCTACTCAGGGTCCTATGGTGCCCCCAACAGACAAAGGATGTTGAATACATATTACGAGGTCCAGAAGCGATCTTTCAAATGCAATGAAGAAATGAATATGTTCCATTATTTCAATGAAAAACAAACATAAATATTCTGTGATTTATGATCAAGACCCTTTAGATTCCGTTAGTTATATTTTAAAATATGGATAAGTACCGATTTTTTAATCTTTATATAATAAACTATAGTTTAGACTCTAGTGGATGTATATTTTCACTTAAAAATATCGATTTTAAATTAAATTTTTAATAGAAATAGTTCGCTTACGAACTAAGCAAATCTGAACATCGATTTTTTAATCTTTATATAATAAACTATAGTTTAGACTCTAGTGGATCTATATTTTCACTTAAAAATATCGATTTTAAATTAAATATTAAAAAGAAATAGTTCGCTCACGAACTAAGCAAATGTGTAATGTAGTAAAAAGAAACTCACCTGCATTATGGGATACGTGCTGCGTCCTTTACCCAAGCGTTCTAATATCACCAACTTCTCCGTGTCCACTATAACCGCATGAATATTAGATGAAGCCAATATGGGTTTAGCCGGAGCCTCGATCGGTACAAAGTTCTTATTGCGTTCGGCAAAATGACGATCAAACGAACTGCGACGATCACTTTGTGAACGTTGATACTGTTGACGAGAATTGGACTTATTGCCACCACCACCACCATTATTCATCAAATCACCGTTCGACATGTGGCGCGAGGAGGCAACATACGATTTTGATTTGCGATATTGTTTAGCATTATTATTGTTATTGTTGTTGTTGCTGTTGTAATTTTTAAAGTTCAAAGGTTCCAAAGCTATGTAAGAAGTTGTAGAGGTATCGTTGGCATTACTAGCAGTGGGTTTCAAACATTTGGCACAGGGTTTTGCTAAAGCAGCAGTCAATAGATCAGCAGCTGTGAGCTTAACACTACTGCGTCGGGAATTTTGAGCATTAGGATTTTGATTTTCATTGGTAATGGGTGAGGGGGATTTTGAATTAGTACGATTTGCTTTGTTGTTCTTTGATTTTTCACCGGGCAAGGGATTGTTATCATTGTAAGTATTATTTGTGGTTAGGGTTTTATGAGTGTTAGTGTTGTTGTTGTTGTTGTGGCCATTGTTAGTGGTTTTCTGTTGTTGTTGCTGCTGCTGCTGTTGTTTGCTGTTGCCCAATGTTTGAGCATAACTGTGGGAGGAATTGCGATAGGATGTGGTTTTCTGTTGGTTTTTAGAATTTTGTGTTTTTTGCTGCTGTTGTTGTGTTTCTGTGTTGGTGGTTTGTGTCTGTGTTTGTTTAGTTTGGGATTTGTTAGTAGTGTTGTTGTTATTATTGGATTTTGCAGCATTTTTATTGTTTTGTTTGTTGCTGTTAACACTATTACGTCTCTTCTGATTCTGATTGTTACCATTATTCTGTGGTTGTTGGGCCTTTTGTTGTTGCTGATTTTTAGTTTTATTATTGTTACTGTTGTTGTTGCCAGTTTGATTTTGCAAATTTTGTGTCTTTATTGTGGTTGAACTCTGCTGTTGTTGTTGTTGCGGCTGTTGTGTTGCTTGTCTTTTTGTTGTTAATTGTGCTTGTTGTTGTTCATTTTGTCCATTGTTTGAGTTTTTTTGTGCCATTTGTTGTTGAGTTGTTACCTTTTGATTGTTGACTCCTTCAGCAACATTTTGTTGTTGTTGCTGATGCTGCTGTTGCGTGGATTGCGTTTTTTGTTTCATTTTTTGCGGTTTATTACTATTATTGACCATTTTATTGTGCCTTCTATCTGTATCAATCTTTTAATGTTTGGTTTTTAATTTTTAACTTTTTTGTATTTATTTCTTGTTGTTTTTTTTTCTGAAATTGTTATTGTTTAGTAACAGAAAAAAACACTTGTTATTTTTTATTTTGCAGAAGAAATATTTTTTTAATTAGTTTTGTGTTTTTTTTTATTATTTTTGTAGAAGTTTTGTTTTGTTGTTTTTTTTTCTTGCACCTAAAATAGAGAAAAAGAAAGGAAAAGCAAATATTAATTTATTATCTAATCAATTTTATTTTTTAACATGTTTTTATTTAAAATTTTGTTTAAATATTTTGTGAAAGAACAGCTACGTTTACTAAGTTTATAGTTTCAATTAATTAACTCATTCTAAGACAAATAAAACAAGAGTTATATTCGGCAGATTCGAATCTTATTTAGCCTCTATCAAAATATCTAACAATCTTGATATGTTTCTATTAGGGTGATCGATTATTCGACATTTTCCAAAAACCGGTTTTCGAATAGTTCGAATAGTTGACATTTAAAAAAAAACGGTTGATATTTTTCAAATACAGAAAAAACCGGTTAACCGGTTTTTCATTATAAATAAAAAAATATATTTTAATTTAAAAAACTTAATGTTTATGTTTAAATTTGATTAATAAAACATGGCCCGAAATTATTTTTAACAGTTTAAAAGATTATAACTTTAGATCTAGTCGTCTGATTTACATTATTTCTTTAATATAAAAAAAATTAGGGAAAAAGTGGGACACTTCTGTTAAACATAAGGTACTATGTAATCCTAGCTTATTTTAAAAGCCCTGTTTAGGAAATTTGCATAGGCATTCCAACACTTCCATAAAATTTCAGCCGTAAATTAATTATTGTAATTGGAATATAATCTTAAGATTGATAAAATTTTATCAAACAGTTATCAATTTTACAAATAAATTTTTTTAAATAATTAGGAAAATCAAAGAAGTTTAACCAAAGGAGCTGTAGAAAAATATACGCTAGTTCCTCGACTCCAATATTTTTAAAATTTAGACGGGCTGTATTATTATTTACTTAAAAATTTCATTTAAATAATCTTTGAATACAAAGCAAATAAAAGTATTCGAAACCGGTTTTTAAAAAGTGAAAAAACCGGGTTATTCGATATTCGAAAAATCAACATTAAGAAAAAACCGACACTGGTAAAGCAGAAAAAACCGGTTTTAAAACCGGTTGAAAAATCGAGTCGATCACCCTAGTTTCTATTCAACGGGAAAATGTAAAAAGAAAACATTTAAACTTTATTGTCTTCTGAAGTAGAAGAGATATCCTACTTATGTAAGCTTATTTTTAAAAGATCTTCTAGAACTATTTATATTGCAAATTTCAACTCATTCTGATCTTAAATGGATTTTTGGCGATTTTTTATAAGAGAGACTCGCGGTAACCAACTTTGAGGAGCCATTCACTAGCCCCCATTCCTCCTGCAAAGCCAAGCTATTGTAAATCAGCACATAAACACCTCAACTCCAAACTTGTGAGATTTCTTAACAATATCTCCCATAGTTCCAAAATATCGAACTATTTCCCAAAAGAATTGGGCGTACATGTTTCACAAGGTAGTATTTTCCTCTTTATTTTATTAATAGTAATACTGAGGACCCTAACAGATCTGTCTGTCTAAAGGATACCTTGGAAAAATCTCCATCTTGGTGTTATTGTAATATCCCGGGGAAAAGAGGTGCTACCAATACCTCTAGTCTGCCGGGACTATAAACTGGTGATGATCAAATGTATCCTTGGCCTTTCCTTGGAATGATTTGACATGGGGTCTAACCAGAGTACCATATAATCTGTCACTACGGGTGGCCAGTTGCCCGCAGGACTTGTTCTGGCTGATCAGCTGGTTGAGGTTACTTCGGTATCCACATAGTGTCTGTGGTTTAAACCCAAATTCGCGGATATTGGTTGAAAGACTGATATATCCTATCATATATTTATGTCTGAATTCTCTCCCAGGTGCTGTTGCCATCTCAACAGATGTCTTTGGGTTATGTGACTGAGCAACTTACGCTGGATTCCTGAACCTGTTGAGTAGTGGGGCGCCAGTACAGGTTGGGGAATATGGTCTGAGAATGTAGCTGATATAATTAGTAAACAATCGGGAAAGTCTCCTCTGCCCGACAGGAAACTAGTACTAATTTAGTTGACCTTTTAGTTCGGGGAAGTTCTCGATGCTGTTGCTATCTCAACAGAATTCATATTGTTTCATGCTACGCGACTTATGGTTGAGGCCTGACACTCAACTTGTCGGGGCAATTATTGAATTCGAATTGTCTTTGGAAATTCCTACATTCTTTGTCACATTATCTGACATACAGAGGGATCCTGATTCATTGGCTGGGTATTTCGGACTACCAAATATGTCTCTCAGTAGAGTGATTGCGCGTGCTTTAAAATGGGTCATTAGTTCATGACATCTAAAGGGTGGTCACCTTCCGGTATACCGGAAGATTGATGGACCGTTATCAAGTCTACCCAGTGGATGAAGGAGAGCACCGTGGCAGGAGTTCACGTTAAGCACTTAGATATTCTTGTCTAAAGGATCCAAATTACTTATGTAGAAGGTCCAAGGAGGTCTTTTCTATCTTTTCACGAAATGGCGTCTGTTATCATGAAAGCGTACTTAGATCACTTATAACTTATGTTTAAATAATCGGGGCAAAAGTGCCAATCAAGGATCAGCTTTTTCCTCCTATTGAAACTTATATAAGAAATAAGGCGTCACTTACAGCCGAACGGTTCATAACTTTAGGCGAATTGATACGTCATCAATGTATACTGGACATATTGGAAGTCCATACACAAATATCGGACGTGCCCGATCGCATATCAGACACAGAATTTGTCGGCAACTTTCACGTGGAACATTAGAGCAAATACTCGGAGGACCCGTTGCTAGGCCCTGGAGTTCCAAATAGAAAACCCAAAAGTCTATAACAATAGCTTACAGGCGGAATACTGTGCAATATGTGAACTGGATTATAACCAATATGGACCCAACAGAGGTTATATTTACCGAGAGCCTTATGGAAGTCAATTAGGACGATATCAGGTGATATGATTAAATCTAAGACCGTATTAGACTGTTAGTGAGTCTTAGCCAATAATCTTCCAGAGATAAGTTTTACATTATATTGGGTACCAGGCCACTCGGGAATAATCGGCAACGAAAGCTCTATTGTACTTGCTGTAAAGAAGGAAGGCAACTCGAGGAAGTTGACCTAACGTTCGACACAATGAGGGCTGATTTAAAAACATTAGACTGTAAGAGAGCCTTAACCGAATACTCTTTCAGAGGAAAGCCTTGCATTATATGGCTACCAGGCCACTAACGAAAAGAGGACGAAAAACTTTTCAGAATGAGCAAATCCAATATTAGTATGATGTTCTGGATGAAACAACTATACAAAGTTGGACGATTGGGTGCAGACAAATGTAGAGAATACGGAGTGGACAGGGAAAATCTATAATATTGTCATTGCCAGATATCTGGAGGCGATTGAACACTACAGATTTGCTAGTTCGAAATCAATCATTAGCTTTGACATCAGTTCTTTAACTAACTTTCCGCGATTAAGGATTCGGAAACCATGTAGTTAGTGTCTCTAGTTTTTGGTTTCGCAAAACTTCAAAACATTGAGAGATTGCTATAACCCTATGATCCAGGAAGTTCACCAAGATTATGTCCTAATTGCATTTCTAGGAGTTTAGTTAAAAAGTTATTGTGTATCCTTTAGACATAAAATATGTACATATATCATACTGAAACCATACGAAATATTTATGCATAAAACGATCTCAGTGAGAAATAACATTTTCTCCAACTAATCACTATTAAGGAAAAAATCGTATCTTCTATTGGGAAACCCAAGTAATACCCCTCAATTGTCATTGTAATTTATCAAATAGCATATTCTCAAGAATTTTCCATAAACAACTCTATACTAGACATTTTGTTTACAAAATAAAATTATTACAAAAATAGCCGGGTCTGCTGTCTAGTCTGTCTTCCAGAGATTATTAATAAAAAAATAAATAAACATAATTTTAAATATATATATATATTTAAGTAATATACTAAAAGTAATATAATATAAAAAAGCAAAACAGCAACACAGCTGATACCTTATTGCTTAACAAATAAACACAGGCCCCTTAACAGATAACCTCTGAAAATCAAAGCATATTCAAGCCCCCCATTTACAAAAGTTTAATAATATCAATACTCTTCAAGCAACTCTGAGTCATTGAAAATTTTACTCTCTTTAATAAAACGACAAATTTATATCACTTCTCTTAGTTTTAATTTATGTCGTTGAAAGTTCAGTTCAAAAAAAGAAAAATTAAAAATAAATAAACAAATGTGCAAATTCTACGTGATCTTTAAACATATTTCCTATAATTTTAGATTTATATTTCTAACCGTTTCTCTCTTTCTCTAACTCTTTATTTTTTATTTAAACTTTCTCACATATTGAGGTTCGTCCTCTCCATATCTCTTCAATTCCCTGTTCAGTTCCTAAAATATTTTGTTGTTTTTTTTAAATTTTTTTATGATGTAATATTTCGCGCGTTCACACACTGTTATTTTTTGATTGTTTATTTTCAGTGAATTTTTTTTAATTTATTTATTTTTTTTGCTCATTTACGTTTTAAATTTGCGTTCTTTATATTTAATGGTGTGTGGATCAATTATTTCATTTCAATTTTTTTTACTTATTATTAATTTAGTGATTCACCCTACAATAAACTAAATGTTGTAATTGTATAAAAAAAAAAAAACTTACTGACTGGTGGCGATGGTGGTTTTATAATATTTATTCATATTATATTAACAAGTTACTGATCATCGTGTTGAAAATGACACAATGTCTAATTGGTTTTAATTAATTTATTTATTCATTTAATTTCAGTGTAAATAATTGCAGGCCTCATTATAATGTACAAGTGATTCAATAATTTTTTATAATTATCTTTGGTGTAGCTGGAGTCATTGATCTAATTAAAGATTTTAATAATTTATTTACAAAATCTATAGTTTCTTAATACATGATTTATCGGGGCCTTCAAGTTCAATATTTCATTTTCTTGTGGTCAACATACATATTTATCCGATATATGCCATATTCATTATCCATTTTACGTCCAAAACTTCAGTTCTGATCAGCTACTTC